TGTAAGATTACCGTGTTTGGTCAAAGGAATAAAAGATTATTGGAATGCATATTTGACCAAATTGTCCTTATTATATATTTGTATAGTATTACAAATTGTAAAATATTTATATATTTTCTTTAAAAAATTAAATTCATAATATTTATATAATTTTTTTACAAAATTAAAAATATAAAAAATGTTTAATGAAAGGGTAAAAAAAATTTAACCCCTAAACTTCATATAAAATTTTAATTATAGACTTTTTTTGTAAATCTAAAATAATTTAAGGATAAATTTGTAATTTAACATTCGTAGAATTTTTATTATTCAATGACAGAATAATGATATTTTTGAAAAACAATAAAAATTTAAGGGCATTTTAGTCCAAAACGCCGGTAATGTTACAATACCTAAGGGAAGGAAGGTAATGACATTCCCGGTAATATACCCCAAAAAATCTACTATTGGTAATAAAACATTACCGGGAATGAGATTCCCGGCCAACCAAACATGGGAATGTGGGATTCCCATCCCATGGGAATGTGGGATTCCCATCCCATGGGAATCCCACATTCTTTGAACCAAACACCCCCTTAAAGTCTTATGTACGAAAACCAATTTTGTAATCCATTGGGTAACCCATTGTGCGATCTATCGGCGGAGCCCATTTTTAGAACTGGACAGGCTGCGGCGTTCATCAGGCCCACCCCCGTCGCCGATTAAGAGTAAAAGTTTCATTTCGAAACACAAAAAATAATAAAAACCCTAGATGTGGGATAACGGATTATATCAAACGAAAGAAGGTTGATCATGGCCGTCCACTTCTGATCTTAAGAGATTATAAACGCACTAGCAAGCTTAGGTAGGGTTTTTATCAACAGAAGCTGATAGCTGCTCTCGAGTTTGTTCCATTTTCTTATTCTCTTTCTTTCAGATGTCGAGGTATTAGCGTTCAAGTTTTCGTTGCGAATTACATTTCATGTTTGCTGAATCCTATTATGGAATTCTTTTCCTTTAGTTTTTGTGTGAATTACTGGTTTCGTTTGGTAATGCACTAGTGCTCTGGGTGTACGAAAACGTACTGATTTAACTTCAGTTTCTGGCGATGATTGAAATGGATTTCGCCATGAAAAGACAGTGCTGGATAAATCAAGGCTAGAGTCTCGAAAACAGCTCTTCTCGCCAGAACCCTGAAAATGGGGTTTTGGAAAGAAATACCAAAGGAGCTCGAGAATTGACGTGCTTAAAGTTAATGCCATAGGCCTTTGGTCTTGGGGGGTCAATTTCATTTCATTTCGCTAGATCTGCTGTTCTTCATTTGATTTCTCATCTAGGGTTAATTCTTTTTTTATACTCTTTCGATTTAGAATATTATGTAATTGGTTTTTTAGTGAAAATTGTACGATGCTTGAATTGCTTCTATCTATATTCAAAACTTCAGATTTGCTCATTATGACATTGATTTGGCTAAGGACTGGAATTGAGTTGTTTGTAATTTTGCAGAGTATTTTTTTGTTGAAGAAACATGTCTCATCGCAAGTTTGAGCATCCAAGGCATGGCTCTTTGGGATTTCTCCCAAGGAAAAGAGCCTCTCGCCACAGAGGAAAAGGTTTGTCACCATATGTTCTTATTTGTTTGTTTTATAGCTAGAAAGTGTTGATATTCTATTTGGTAATATTGTTGGATTGCCCTATCATTCAATTGTATTGTGGCATTGCTGTGGCCGAATGGAAGAACCCTATTTGGTTTAATAGTTTGTCTTTAGTCCTGTATATTCTCTGCTGCTGTGGCCAAGTGGAACCCCTTTCATTGTTATGTTCAGCTTTCCAATTTAAAACATTTTAAGTTGCTCTTTCTATCTTAATTCCCTCTATGGTTTTGTTAATTAAAGTCTTCTGATTTTTCTTTCTCCTTTTGTGGTTGTTTATTGAAGGCATTCCCAAAGGATGATGCTACCAAGCCATGCCGATTAACTGCATTCTTGGGATATAAAGCTGGGATGACATATATAGTGAGGGAAGTTGAAAAGCCTGGATCAAGTAATTCTTTTTTCTCTTGATCATGATTTTAAAATCATGGAATTTATGTGTTTTTTTATATGTCGTTCTCGTTTTGTTTGTTAGTTTAATGTATTTATATTCTTTATTCCAGAACTTCACAAGAAGGAGACTTGTGAAGCAGTTACTATCATTGAGACACCACCTATGGTTGTTGGATATGTCAAAACTCCTCGTGGTCATCAGACTTTGGGCACTGTGTTGGTTCAGCATCTAAGTGAAGAGGTGAAACGAAGGTTCTATAAGCATCGGTGCAAGTCTAAGAAAGTTTTCACCAAGTACTCCAAGAAGTTTGAAACTGAAGATGGTAAAAAAGACTTTCAATTGCAGCTGGAAAAACTGAAAAAATATTGCACCGTGATACGTGTTTTGGCCCACACCCAGGTATATCCTCTTCAAGCAGTTCTGTAATTTTTTTAATTATGTTTGTCCTTCCAATTATTGATGATTGAACGTTTTACCTTTATGTGTTTCCGATTTATTTTATGTCTTTTGTATATTGTTGTAGATAAGAAAAATGAAGGGCTTGAAGCAAAAGAAGGCTCATTTAATGAAGATTCAAGTCAATGGCGGAACTGTTGCCCAGAAAGTTGACTACTCTTATAGTTTCTTTGAGAAATCTATTCCAGTTGATGCTGTGTTCCAGAAAGATGAGATGATCGATATAATTGGTGTGACCAAGGGCAAAGGTTATGAGGGTATGGTGACCAGATGGGGTGTTACCCGTCTCCCACGTAAGACGCATCGAGTTCTTCGCAAGGTTGCTTGTATTGGTGCATGGCATCCAGCTAGGGTTTCCTTTACTGTTGCCAGGGCTGGCCAAAATGGCTACCATCACCAGCACTGAGATGAACAAGAAAGTGTACAAGCTTGGAAAGGCTGGGCAGGAGTCGCATGCCGCCATGACCGAATATGATGGGTAGCCAAGCACCCTTTTCCCAGCATGCTATTTATATTTGTATGCTAATTATTGCAACTGAGACATTTCTAATGCCCCTTCCCATTTCTCCTAATTTCAGGACTGAAAAGGATATTACCCCAATGGGTGGATTCCCCCATTATGGTGTGGTGAAAGAGGATTATCTGATGTTTAAAGGCGGCTGTGTTGGGCCAAATAAACGTGTTGCGACTTTGAGGTAATCCCTTCTTCATCAAACATCTAGGGTTGCTCTCTAGGAGATCAAGCTCAAGTTCATCGATACGTCATCCAAGTTCGGTCATGGTCGCTTCCAGACAACTCAGTAGAAGGCCAAATTCTATGGGAAGCTCAAGGCTTGACTCAGGGATATGGTTGTGAAAAAAGTAGGGGAAAGGATAAAAGGAGATATTTGATATGCCATGGCATTGGCTATTTATCTTTTGTTTTTTTGTTTTGTTTTTCAAGACCAGCTTTAATGTCCTTTCCTCATCAAAGGGAATAGGAGACAATATCTTTTACAAATGTCCTTATGCATGATTATGAATTTCCCTTTTTTTTAAAATATTTGTCAAAAATAAATCATTGAAGGGCTTTTCACGTTTGATTTTAATGTTGCATATAAATATATAATTTACAATTCAAGTATATTATCTAAACTCTTCCAATATTTATACAAAATTCTTATATCAAACATAGATTTTGTAAATGTTACATACCTGTAACAGATCTCTTTCATAATTTTTTAAAGTTCAATTTTATTTTACATTTATAGAGTTAAATATTTAATTATCAGCAGACATGAATCATAGTTATATATATATATATACTAGTATCATTTAAATATAATTAAATATTGTTGCTAATTTTTTACTTCTATAGTATTTGGAATATATATAGATATATGGAATACTCAGGTGACTGGTAGTTGAAGAATGAAACCTCAGTGTAAATCAAATGTTGTTGCTGTTAATCTTTGTTTTTTTTTTCAATCGAGGATGTCACTGTCTATGAGGTATAATACTACTAGGCAAGATTTTGAAGCTTAAATTCAAAAACTTTATGATATTATTGGTTAAGGTCTTAGATAGGCTTTCGAATCATTCACAGACATTTTGATTATGTTGTTTGACAGAGGTAGAAGAAGCTATTTCTATTTAAAGGGTCTTCAACTCTAATCATTGCTTCCATGTAGGAGCAGTAGCTTCAGTGTCTCTGACAAGAGTGATGGGGTTTCTCCGCACATTCATTCATCTCTCCTGGTCTGCTTTTTAAAACTTTGTGGTCTAAATCAATCACACCCTTTGTTTTTTGTTTTTGATTTCTCAAGCTCTTTTGCTTTAAGCCACAGTCCATGTTGTTCCTTCTCTTGAATCATTACATTTATGGCACTGCATATGCATTGCTGTAAGCTCTCTCTCTCAATCATCTCTTTTTCTTCCTAAACTTTCAAGTCAATTCTTGTTGTGTTCTCTTTTTCATGTGCTTTTCTATCCTGTTGTTTGTTCTTGTGCTTGGTTTGAATCAAATACACAACTTTATTTTAAAGATCATACTGCAATTGTGTATCTTTCATCTTTTTGATTCTTTATTTGGTGCATGTCTTGTTTTTCCAGGGCAGTCTTAGGGCCATAGGATCCAAGGACTGATTTTCCTCTCTTGGTAAGTACTGATGTGATTTTCATTTGTAATGGTGCTTTTCAAGCTTTGGGTCAATGTTCTTTTCTTCAGTTTTTCATCATACTTCTATGATTTAGAGATTCTGTGATATCGACATCGACAGTATTTAAGCTCCAGGGCAGCCTGAAAGTGCCATTTTCATCTCTTTTTCTAAGCTTGAATGTTCCTGGAATTTTATTATTACCTTTTATCAATCTTTTTCAGAGATTGTTACTACTCATGAATGAGGTTCATTTTTCTTAGAGGGATAACCTGTAACTATGCCTGAATCTGCTATAGTCGTGTTGTGATTTACTTATTACTATCGGTTTCTACAAGATCGATCGTGTTGTGATTTACTTATTACTATCGGTTTCTACAAGATCGATCGCAGCATTTCCGAAGCAACCATGGATGGGTTTGGAAGTGGAAGAACAATGCCATGGAACATATACCCAAGTTCAGATCCAAGTCCGTCTCAACCTGTAGTCGATTAGGAACCAACATTGAAAACCTTGGGGACATCCATGAATGCCATTTCTTTTGGCTTTGTTGCTACCGCCATCTTGATATCAATGTTTATTTTCATGGCCATCTTCGAACACCTCTTTCAGCCAAATCCTGATTTTTCTTCACCCGATGAAGACGCAGCTCTAGGATCTGGAGCTGTCGGAAAACTCGGGAATCCGCAAAGAGTAAGCTTCTATCTCATCAGGCCGTTGAGTTAGTGTACCCTGCACATTCTGCTGTGCTTTCTCTTTTGGAAGCATTACTTTAAGAACAAAGAAAACTTTAACCAGATCATCCGTCACGAATTTCGGTTTTCGACTTTTCGATCACTAAGCTAAAAACCCTTTGACCCTCAGCAATGATTATGGAAAGATGATATATACAAGTAAAACATGTATTTCTTTTCATTCAATCTTGAATCTGATGTTTGGTGTACTCGTCGTGATTGCAGATGTCGGCATCGTATTACATTGCTCAACTTGCTCCCCTCCCTTGTCCAAGGGAAGGCATCTATTGGCCTCCCCATAAACATAGTTTTGTATATCCTTAAGCAAACATCATCATCATCAACTATGTTCTTTATCATATTCATCAACAATCAACCTTATTGTCATCTAATAATATTATAATCTTGAAGCTGGTTTTATCCAAAGAAAACAATCCCTTGCAAATCACAAACATCAATGAGCATTGAAACTTGAAGAATTTATATTAGAAACAAAGTAAAAAAAAAGTTACATTACAAGAAAAATTGCAAGCAATGGAATCCCTAACCCACCTAAGCTCTTTTAGCCACTTCCATTCACCCATCCCTATGAAGTTTACCACTGTAAATCTGACTATTCTTATGTTTCCACTCCCCCTTTCCTATATATATTTGGATTCTCTGATATTCAGCAACTTTTTCCTATTACTATTTGCTTCCATGGTGGGCAAAGAATAGAAAGTGATAAGTGGAAGGGAAAATCGTCTATTGCTCATTGAAGCCATCTTCATCAGGTAATATTGCAGTCAATAAAGAATACTTTACCAGGAGAGAGATCTTTCCTTTCTTGACAACCAATCTTGCCCCAGAAACAACCCAATATCCAGGAATTTCTTGTGGCCCTCGTGTAATCTCTGTTGTATCAACATATTTCAAAAGCTTGGGAGCTTGAACGGGCACCGGAGGACCTCCGGGGTAAACAGCGGAGTTTATATTCACGTCAGCTGGTCTTGGAGGTGGCTTCTGAACTTGTGTAAAGTGATGACTGATTAGTGTGGATATGAGTCCAGACTTGGCTACCAATCCGGGTGATCCTTCCCATTCTGGCTGCTTGACAGAAATAGCTCCCGAGACGTTTGCGAAACGTAGTCGTAAGAAGAGGATATTTTTAAAACCATGATTCTCAACTTGCAATTGGGCTCCAGTTACAATTGAAAGGTCCTCGTCAGACTCGATGGGAGCGGTGCATACATGAGAATAGTTCTTCCAATAAACTTTCTCATAGTATTTACGATCATGAGACTCTTGGCTGAAGTTCCCTTTCGAATCATCTACAAGTTGGAAGATTTTTGGGAGGGAGGAAAGGTGCTGCAAGTGGATGGCCAAGTGGTTGCTCCTTTTACCTTCTAGATACAGTCTGAGACCGGTCACAGGCCTCTTACCCACATCAACCTGTCATGAAAATATATAACTAAAAATTAGGTACAGTTCCCTTCTTTATATTAACAAAGACTTCCTAGTAAAGGCTGAACCTCCAATTCAATGACCCAATAGCTAATATCAGTTTCAAACATTTTACTCGCCATGCGACAGTTGAATTATGCTCTCCTTGGGAGACCCGAGAAAGACGAAATCTTAATAGGAAAAATTACTCAACACATATGGATATGGATATCAACATGTTCTGAAGAGAGACTAGCGGTCATCTATAAATATAACACCAGCATATCAACACGTTCTGAAGTTTATCTAGCTGAAGGGCTAATAAAAACTACTCAACATGTATGGACAAAACCTACATCGCCAAACGCTTGGAGCACCTAAACAAAAGCCAGAAGATTTGAAATCTAGAAAATTCTTTACCGGAGTAGTGTTCACAAAAAGCTTGGGCCCCATGAAGCTGAACTGCAAAGATGCAGTGCTTTGTTGTTTTCGTCGTGGACCAAGAGGAAGTTCACCGAAAACTGGTGCCCATTGTCTCGGAAGCTGAAATTCCAAAAACTGATGGAGCTCTCCAATTGGTGGTTTATCTGTAAGAGCAATAGCTTATGGATGAAACATGCACACATTTTTTTTCCTGTAAAATAGAAGTAACATTTGCACAACAGCAGAAGTAAGCTAAATGAAGGAAAACAAGGTCCAATAACAAATTCTCGTTGTTTCATGACACGGTTTATATAAAGCCAGAAATACCAACCAATTATTCAATTCCAACTCTCTCTTAGTTAAACATTGCTAGTAAAGGATTTCAAGATAACAAAAGTGATCAAGAATCAACTCCTAATGATGTAGTTTGGTACTTACCAACAACTTACAATCATTTAACTAAGGGTTTAATCAAAATAAGCCCATAATTCATGTTTGATTACCTTAGAATTGCATAATTATAAGATGGTTAGTGAACTTGTGATATGTTATATTTAACAAAATTATAGACTTTTTAAAGAAGCAAAAATATGAGGCATACTTCTTCAAGAAAATAATAAAGGCATTCCGCTATAGGAAGGAAAAAGAGGAGATACAATAATTTGAAGCAAGCAGTAGAAGAAAATAAAAAAAATGCATTACGTAGACAGAGAACTATAGGCCTTGCTTACATCGCAAATATAGATTTATGGCATGGTTCAAAAATCCGCAGCCTGGAACTCCATTCAACAGAGAAGTAATAGGGATAAAGGACATTGAGATTACATCAGGCTCTAACTGAACCGTATGTAACCAGTCATTATGAGAAAGGCTTCTATTACCACTTCCACCTCTCCTTTTGTAAATGGTTATAATATCCTGCAATTTTGAGGTAATTATTGCAAACATTGATATCGGGAAAGAAACTCAAACCTCTATCAAGGAACTTTAACTATTAAGCAAACAACACCATATGAAAGGAAACTGACCTCTTTATGTGCATATGAACTTGGACTGTTACTAGCAAACCTTAGCTGCTGTTCCCTGATTTCAAACTGAAACAGAAAAAACTGATTAGATACCTCGGGGGAAGAAACACACAAATTATGCCAAAGGCTCACCTATAAGGATGATTGACGGATAAATTAAAACCAATAAAAAGTTAAAAGAAATTAAGTTTTGCAACCAAAGGTGTCAACAGACAGAAATATGCAGATGAATAACCATAATTTATTATTTTATAGAGATCAATCGATCTCTAATATAAAAAGACTCGCAATAAAAGCAAAAAGTCTCCAAGTAACAAAACTAAAAACGAAACTGCCAACCAAGTTCAAAGACCTAGAAAATAACAATATACTCATAAACAGGAGGCAAAGCAAAAACAATGACAGCCATATCCTGGTGTAAAAATCTAAACATTTAAAACAGTAACAGACATTTAGCATTCTCTGGCAACTATTTAACAGGTACTTCCTTAGCAATCATACAATATTTAGAGTGAAACTGGGTTGTAATGTTACTATGTTTAGAGAGACTAAGAAAACTCTCCCTTTTAAACAGTGATTCTCAAAACAAAATTTTGGCATCAATATGCAACACTTCCACAATAACACCCTGCTTGCCAGGTCAATCATGGATATTGTACCCCTGCTGTAAAAGAATTTGAACTAGAAATATTGATTTCATTACATCCAAACATGGGGCAAGTCTTATGTATATATACAGCCTCCGATTAGAAGATTTATCATTACTGTTGCGAACCTTGTCACTCGGAAAGACTTGCTCAGACACCATGCTAGAATGTTCACTGGCATCTAAAAACCTCTTATTAGCCACATCCTTCAATCTTTTCTGGATATCAGCTGGTTGAAGAGTAGAGGAATGCTGCTGTTTGATGTAAATGACATCCTTCCCTCCCAACTTCACACCAACAATTATATGGGTGCCATAAGTTTCAATAAACCTGAGATGTGATCCAAATTATATATCAACCTCAAATACTATAAAGCAGCAAGTACATAACATCAAATAAAGCAGGCAGTAGGCATCAGAAAATTCATAGTCATCAACACAACAGCAATCTTCATATTTTCATTAAGAATGAGGATGTTGAACCAGAATAAAAGGAATTAAAAAGTTGAATGATGACAAAACTCGAAGAGACGGAGCGTGAAATATGCATAGGCTGAAGCCCAATTCATTGAATAAGGTAGAAAAAGCCTCCTACATGAAAAGGTCTTTCCTTTAATAGAAAAGAAGCTTTATTATAGCAAACTAAGCCAAAAGCATTACAATCAACTAAAGTGTTTTGGAGGTTCCTCATAAAACTGTATAATACCACCCCCGATGGATGATTTAACTTTGCCATAGCATCTACAAACGTAATAGCTCCATGCCTAACAAGACCAATGCGAAAAAACCCATCACCAGAATTCAATAATCAAATTTGCATCAAATTTCAACCTTGCCAATGCTTCAGGTTCCCATGTAGATGGGACTGCTTTCCTGACATGATCTCGTAGCACCATTTGAGATTTCTCCAGTACGACTGTGTAAAGGGTGATGAACATCCCATCATAAGCAAGCGTCTTGGTATTAGCAGCATCTTTTTGCCAATAACCAGAGAAGTCAAACATGGAATTGAAGAGGCCCGAAGGTATTTTTCCAGTCAAAGATATTTCTTGGTTGAATTGCTCTGACATCTGGAGAAAAAGCAGACTCTCATATATCTTTCACAAGATTTGACTCATGCCACAACAATTTGTTCTTCTAATACATATGGACATGGATAACATTGAACAAACAGAAAACTATTACCTGTTGAAAAGAGAGAACATCAGACCTAAATCGTGTGCGCTCTCCTTTATCACATTTTATTGATTTGGACACATTGGGTATTGAAATTCCACCAGGAAAAACAATCTCATGGCCTCCATCTTCATCAATCTCGATAAGACGTGAATCTTTCGAATTATTCCCTTTACAGTACTTCAGCCGAAGATCCGTTCCAATATCATAACCGCATCCGATGGACCCTATGGCAATCTCAGCCGCCTTCGGAGCTGGCATCTTAAGTGCCATTGCTCAGTGCATCACTCTTTCTCACCAAATCTGGAATCAAATCCACACGTGGTTCAATTATTCAAACCAAACATAGTACACTCCAAGTAAAGCAAAAGCAACACCATTTCAATCATATACATAAATAAACAAATCCAAATCATACCAAATAGCTTAACGTGTAAAAACATAACAAAATCTATCATACAAAATTTCCCTTTAAAGTAAATATTACTAAAAGAGAACAGATCAGAAGTTCATAAAGAGCTCAAAATTCAAACTCATATAAAACAAAAGCAATTTTCACTCTCCTTTTCCAGTAATGATCGCAACTAAAACCAACTCAGCTCAATTTAAGAGGAAAATTGGCCGATTTTCACAAATTAACAGCTTCACAAAACCAAATATAGTTCAGATCGAACAAATATCCCTACAGAACTATATCATAAAACTAAAAATAGGCCCTAAAATAAATATATTTAAAAAAGGGTTACTCACGAAGTAAAGTTTGAATCTTCGGTGGGGGTTTTAGAGCAAATTTTGAAGCTCGAACAAAGCCCGACGCAAATTGATGCCGTCTAGTCGATCCCTTCGTTCGATTTCGAGGTGTTTTGAAACTGCAGGATTTCCAGGCCGGGAAATTCCAAGAACAAAACTTGAACGGAAAGAGATGACGGAGAAATGTAAAAATATAACAAATGAAAAATCAAACAAAAGAAGAAGAAGAAGAAGAAGAAACAAATAGAAAGAGATAGAAGCCCTAAGAAAGGGGGTGAGTTGCTGAGTTGAGACACGGACGGTAGTAGCGAAAACAGGTTTGACTGAAAATAAAGAAATTCCTTTATATTGACGTGTGAGTTGTGAATGAGTCAGACTCAGACCCAAGCCATTTTAACCGAGTTGAGTTTTGATTGAGAAATAGTAGAAAACAGGGAAGTCAAATGTGTAGCTTTCAAAGAATGCATGGACATGGGTTCCATTTTAACCTCTTTTATTAATTTATTTTACCTCATCTTTTCGTTATTGCCTTTAGTAATCATCAATCAAGCAACTTGCTCTCTATCTTTTCATGTAATTTTTAATGAATTATATTCAATACATGGTTTGATTTTAGGGTAAATTACTACTTAAATTATTAATTTTAATTCATTTTATTATCTAAACTTATCAGATTTACATTTTAGTTTTTATTTCGTTTTATTATCTCACCGTTAAAAACTTAAGGGATGATCTGCACGTGGAACCTTTTTTATAGTTAAATTACATTATTCATCACTCAACTATATTTTCACTCCTATTTATATCACTAAATTTTATTTTTTTTAATTTAATTACTTAACTTTCAAAATACTCCTAATTTAATCACTCTAATTTTCAAATTTATTTTTTATTTTTAATTATATATTAATAAAATTATAATAAAAATATAATGTCACAAAAATCGTTAATAAAATAAATTAAAATAATTAAATTATGAGCAATTTGAAAATTGAGTAGTTAAATTAATTTTTTTAACTTTAGTATCAAAATAGGAATGAAAAGATAATTGAATGATGTAATTTACCCAAAAAATGTAACATTGTTAAGTTTTTAACGACAATATATTAAAATGAAAAAAAAATATTAGCAATGATTTTGAAAAAAACTAAAAATTTAGGTATTAAAACGAATCAAAACTTATAGTTTAGTTAGTAAATGCATAATTTACCATTGTTTTATTTATATAGTATATAAATAGTCACTAAATTTTTAAGGCACTTTTATTTTGGTCACTCAATTTTTGAAACTTGCAATACAATCATCAAACTTTTAGCTTGATTTCAGTAAGGTCCTTATCGTTAGTTTTTGTGGACTACACGTTACAGCCGTTAACCCTCCCTTCTTCTTCTTCTTCTTCTTCTTCTTCTTCCTCCTTTCATTACTGCAATAAGACTAATAACAAAAAAGAAAAAGCCAACAAACAAACTTCACACCACCAAAAGAATTATTATCAAGTTTTCTTCGCACACTTAAAGCAAAACCCTTTCTCCTACACTAAACTTAGAAACCCAGAAAATAAATGAAAATACTAACAATGGAATAAAAGAAGAAGAAGAAGAAGCAAAAACACCAACACCCAAATAGTCAAACACCAAAAACTGCATCATAGTTCTCATTCAAGCCAAGCTCCGAGGTAAATCTGCATCGTATGGTGGCGGTACCGGGGGATATCAAAATTTCAGGTTTGCCCTCGTTTCATCCTTGTTAAGTTGTATGCGGATTCGATTCATTCCAATGGTAATTTGGTCATTGCCTTTGATAGTTTTGCCAATATTTGCTTCACCTTATAAATCCTTTTTTTGTTACAATATTTTATAAATATTTTTCCAGTGTTTTAGCTATCATAAATTGGATTGATCACTCGTATTTATAAACTGTACGTAGTTATAGTGTTTAGAGTTGTTTGATTGCTTTATGTTTTCGTTTTGGCCAAAGTTCAGATCTTAGTAACCTTTCTCCTCTTCAAAAACTGTATCTGTTTTTGAAGGAAAAAGAATCGTAGCAATGTGTGAATATCTTAAGGGTTGGAAGAAATCAGCAGAATTTTATAAAGCCATTTTTTAAAGTGACATTTTATCTATATGTGACAGAATTGATGAAGAAGGTGAACAGTGTGGTTGAAGGGGACATGGTTCTGAAATTTCCCATTATCCCTTATGAACTTGATGCATTGGTAACTGTAAAATCCGACGAGGATGTCAAACATATGGTAGATGAGTGTCGTCGTTTGGAAAGCGAAGGAACTCCAAAACTTCGTGCTTTTTTGTTCCCTTCAAACCCAATCGTAGTCGAGAACCAAATGAACCCTGTTGATCACTACGCCATTGAGCAGCGGTATATAGAAGCCATCAATGGCATAGTTCGTCCGAGTTCAAATAATACTAGTGGAAGGCTCACCCCTGTTAACCCAAACCGCTCCAACTTCAGCCCTTCTGCTAGCACTTCCCCTAAAGCAGCTTCTCCAGATAATAGCTATTTCCTCTTGGAGCCGCCATCAGTTTCAAATGGGAACCAACATAATAAACCCCCCATGCCTAAAGTCCAGAGTTCTCCCAACATTTGCAACCTCCATCTGCCAAGTAACAACAACCATAGCAATCCCCAGGTTTACCAGGCACATTGTCATTATCACCAAAAACCACTGTAACACCCCAAAAAAAATTGATAGTGACTAAAGTGAACTTTTTGAAAGTTTGGTGGCCAAAGTAAAAACATAGAAAAAATTAGGGTAAAAAATATAATTTTTAAAAGTTATATATTTTGACCCTTAAATAAATAATTCATCTTTAACAATGGATCCTATATGGAATTCATATTACGATCCGAAATTTGAGTAAAGAGCTATTAAACGATAAATTTCAACAAAATATTCGGATAATAAGATAGAATCAGAAATCTACAAAAGTTAGAACTATTATTTCTATATTTTAGAATGGCGAAATTTGACATGGATCCTTGAAATTTAGATGGATTTTCCGTAATAAGTTAAAATTGTAAATTTTAGTGATTAAAATGTAATTTTTGAAAATTATAAAGGGCAAAGGTGAAAAGTGAATTATATTTTTTCATATTTGACTTTTTTATTATTAAAATGGTAAATGTTAATTATTATGATTTTTAAAGCCCAAAATGGTAATTTGATATTAAATGATATTTATATTCATGAATAAAGAAGAAGAATCTAGAAAAAGTTGTAATCTTCCTTTAGTTTATATTTATAGACGTGAGCAGAAGGCAAAAGGTAAGTTTTCTTTCATTCTTTTTATTTTAAAACTATTTTTTTTTATAAAAAAAAAACTAAAATTATGGTTTCTTTAATATTTTTTTATTATGTCATATTGGTAATCTAAATCTAATGTTTCTTAAATATATCAGTTCTTTGGTTTTGATTTGGAAACTGAGAAACTGGGCATATCTCATTCTTACTGCGTCTTAAATAAAGAAATGGATTGTGTAAACTGAAAAATAATTCAATTTTCTCCCTTCTTCGAACTCTCTCTTTGTCGTGAGCCATGAGAAAGAAGGTAAGAAACTTTATTTATTATTCTTAGCTGCTCTCGATCAATGGCCATGCAAACTTTTATTAATAAAAAATGTTTAGCCATGCAAAGTTGTCTATTTATATATTTGAGCCATGCAAAATTCATTCTCCTTAGCCGTGAGCCACAGCCAAAAAGGTGAGAATAGCGTGTCTTCATTCTTACTGCAAAGTTGATTTATATTTGAGGAATGAAATTGCATATTTATGTGTAAGATATGACTCGTAAATATACCGGTAAAGAGATGTTCATATGAGAAAAAATATAATAAAAAGAGATGTAAATATAACAAGATAATAATACATTATAAAGGCTAATCGATTAAATATTTGAATTAGGCAGTTAATGGTAATATAAAATAGTATTAAACTGCTTAGCGACGGTGTGAAATCAGATATAAATTAGAAATTTAAAATATATCATTATAAATTTATGCGATTAAATAGTATGATAATAAATGTTAAATTATGAGATTTTAAAAGAAACAAAATTTTACCGATTTCGAACAAGATATGTTATACAGAATTTGATGTTATTATAAGATGTCTAGTCAAAAGCAGGGATTTTAATGTTATTCTAAGAACTTCTAGCAATTTGCTTGTGAGGAAGTGCTCTCCATCCGATATCATTCCGGTAGAATCCTCCCGGCCAGTTGATTTCTTCAACTGCAAGGTAAGCTTTTTCCCTTGCTTCTTCAAGGTCTTTGCCTTCAGCAGTAATCCCGAGAACACGGCCACCGGTAGCAATGAAATTGCCATCCGAATCAAGTGCAGTTCCAGCATGGAATATCTTGACAGAAGGAGCAACATGTTCTGCTTCCTCAAGGTTCCGAATCACGGTCCCTTTCTCGTAGGAGCCAGGGTAACCATTGCTTGCCATCACCACCACCATAGCCCACCCAGGGGACCAGTCCAGTGACACTCCTTTTAGCTCTCCTCTACAAGCTGCTAGCAGAACTTTTGCAAGATCAGACTCTAAACGAACCATCAGGACCTGTTGCAAGAGCAAACCACAAGTACAATTTAAGAATCTATTGCCTTATTGAAGCTTGAAAAGATGCCAAAAAAACCTGCCTATAACTGACCTGGCACTCAGGGTCTCCAAACCGGACATTGTACTCGATTAGTTTTGGTAAGCCGGACTTCTTCTCGATCATTAGTCCAGCGTATAAAACCCCGACAAACTTGCATCCTTCCATTGACATGCCCTTAACTGTAGGGAGAATAATAGATTCCATGACCACAGATTCAAGTTCTTTAGTTAAGACTGGTGCAGGGGAGTATGCCCCCATCCCACCAGTATTAGGACCTGTGTCACCATCTCCAACCCGTTTATGGTCTTGTGCAGACTCGAGTGGTATGGCATTCTCTCCATCCACGAGGGCAAAGAACGATGCTTCTTCTCCTTCGAGAAATTCCTCAACAATGACCCGACAACCTGCAGAACCAAAAACGCCCTCAACAAGCATCGAATCAACGGCTTCGTATGCCTCCTCCAATGTCATAGCAACAGTAACTCCTTTTCCGGCAGCCAGTCCATCTGCTTTGATAACAATAGGTGCTCCTTGCTCTTTAATGTATTGCTTTGCAGCTGATGCATCTGAAAATGTTTGATACTAAACCAAACATTTAAAAAGCATTAATGCAGCAGAAAACATGTCTGATAATGTAATAACAAATTTTTGCATCAAATTCGAGATAAAACCTTAGCCGTAGGAATCCCATATTTGTCACATATAGTCTTCATGAAGTTCTTAGAACCTTCCAAAGCAGCAGCCTCAGCCGAAGGGCCAAAAGTAGGGATTCCGGCCATTACCAAATCATTAGCAAGACCTGAAACAAGGGGAGCCTCCGGTCCAACAACAACCAAACCGACACTCCATTTGCGGCAAAATGAAATCACAGCTGAACTATCGGAGATGTCGAGGTCGGGAATACAAGTTGCATCGCCTGAGGTAGAAATCCCGGCATTGCCTGGTGCACAAAAGACGGCATCGCAAGACGGAGACCGCTGCAACATGTAGCAAAGGGCATGTTCTCTTCCCCCTCCACCAATAACTAGAACCACCACTCTCTCCGCTGCACAGCATAAATGACATTTTTACTCAATTCAAAATCACCTGCTTTACCATTTGTCCTATGGTCTCGATGATTCACAAAAAAGGCTTATACAGGAGTAATAACATTTCCATTAAATTTAAACGTGGCATTTTAGTATTTAAAGGTTAAAATCCAGTTGATAACTTGTTCAAATTTAAGGAAAATCAATAAAAGGTTCAATTGGACTCAGTCTTTTTAGTCAGACAAGTAGAGGGACTAAATTGAAATTCCGATTTTTCCTTGGTCTTATCATAAAACTAAACAAAAAAATGAACAAAAAACAATAACATTACAGAAAATGGAGAAAAAAGGGAAACAAATAATATCCTAAAAACAGATTAATTAATTGGGAAAAAGGGTTCTTAAGAGTTGTTCTTATCATACCGGAAGCACCGTTACTGCCATGGCCATCGGCAGAAACGGAGAGCTCTGATTTCAGGGAAAAGCATCGGAAGAAAGTAGAAGACCATCGTGAACCGTCGATGTGCGGCGGAGACGAGCTATGGTGATTGATGGAGAAACTGAGGGATCCCGCTGAGAAAGAAGAAAAAGTCCCAAGGAAGGATTTTGATGGTAAAAAGGAAGTGGGAAAAGACTGAGAAGTGAAGATTCCATTGCTGTTGTTGATAGCAAGCTTTGGATAAGGGGAGAGATTAATGGTCCTTAAGGCCATGCCTTCTTTGCCGTTGTTCTTTTTCCTCTTCCTTCCGAACTCTGCAAAATAAGTTAGCCCTTACAGATAATTCATTTGGTATTGAAAAGATACATGACATGGCAGTAGGGTTTAAGGTTCTATCGTGATTTTTGGTTTAATTTTGAATTCAATCCCTCTTTCTTACAAAAATTTAGAAATTAATTCTTAGAAACAATAGTCATCGAGTGGATTTTTAGTTTCACTTTCAATCTCATTGTTGTTTCCCAATTTGAATGTAACGATAACATTTTTCATCAATTATATAATTTTAATTGATGTAATAATATATTATCGTATGAATTTAATTTTAATTTTAAAAAATTCAACGCCTAATTTACACCTTTTGCAAACGTTTAAAATAAAATTCATTTATTTGTCATAATTTATAAATGTTAAAAATTAAGTTTATTATTATATCAATTAAAATTAGGGTTAACTACGTGGAAAATCACTTACGATTGTGTTCTGTCCACTTTTGGTCACTGATTTCAAAAAACATAAGATATGACAACTTTTGTTTTTATTTAATTAAAATGTGATCACTCTGAGTTAACTTTCGTTAACGACAGTTAAATATTTTGATATAATCACACATTTGGTCCATATTATTTACATATTCTCTCAATTTAGTCCTACTTTTAATAAATTAAAATAAATTAAATCTTCTAATAGAATGATGTCACATGTCATGCCACATAGGGATGAGCATTCAATTGAGTAGAGTCGAGTCAAAAATTTTGAGTTATTCGAGTTGACAAGTCCTATTTTACAACTCTGAGTTAACTTAGAATTTTTTTGAGTCGAGTCGAGTCAAATTTTTTAGTTTTTGTTTAAATTTAATTATAAATATTTATAATATTATGCTATTATTTGATTCTAATTTAAATGATTTTTTATAATTGTCAGAACCGTCTTTTGGTTGGACCCGGAATTGGGCTTCGACTTGGAAAAAATTATTTAAGAGTTGCCACCGATCATTTATTTTAAAACCAAATAGGTAGAACGAATACCTTATTTCTTACTTGATCTGCGTCTTACCAGTGATGTGTCGGATTCGGGAGTCGGTTATAGTCAAGGAAGGGTTAGCACCCTTAAACTGCCCTTTCAGTACTGTGTAATTTCCAGTTGTGTTTACTTAAGAAAGTTAAATGTTTAATTTAAAAGGTAAAATAATGATCCAAAACTTACCCTTGATTGATTAAAAATGTATCCTTAAAAACTCAAGAAACGAGTTAGATAAAAAAGTAATAAAATAAAATGAAGAAAATAAAATAATAAATAAAATAAATAAATAAAAGGATATAAAAAATGAAGTGAATATAATAAATAAATAAAACATAGAAACGAGCGATAAAGAAAGTAAAAATAATAAAAAATACAAAATACAAAATTAAATAAACAACATAAAGAAAAATAGCAATGTACATAAAAAAGGGATAAAATAAGAATAAATAAAGTAATAAAATAAATGTAAAAGGAAAAAGGATAAAGGATAAAAATAAAGAAAAGAAAAAGAAAAACAATAAATAAATAAAAGTAAAATATAAAAAAATAGTAAAATATGTAAGGAAAAAAATAAAAGATATAAATAATACAAATAACGTTAAAAATAGAAATAGTAATAGAAATACTAATAATGAAAATAATATATACAAATATATAAAAAATAAATATATAATATATATAATAATAACAAAGGTACTAAATTGAAAGAAAAGTCAAATTACAGGGTCAATTTAAGGAGGAATTCGATCTTAGGATCGAATTCAGGGTCCAAATAAGCTTTTTCAAAAGTGCGAGGTCCAAAAGCGCAGTTCACCCTATTTATTTTGGAAACACGCGGGTCATATAGTATTGGGTCGGGTCGTGGCCGGCTGGATGGGTATTATAAATACCAATAACCATAAACATAATTCATTTTCATCTCCCCCCAAACCAGATCAAACATAAAAAACCAAATCCTCTGCCCATGTTCATCGTGTTCTTCATGCACGATGAACAACCACCGAGCAACCCAGATTCCGGCGATCCTGTCGCCTCGCCGGCCACCGTTCATCGGCGACGAAACTCGAAAAAAGTTTGATTTTTTAAAATCTCTTTGTTCCCTCGGTTTAAATACATGTTTTGTTTTTGCAAAAAAGCCTCTCGGGAGCGTATATCTGAAATTAAAATTTCAAAAACTCCCTTTTGATCATTGACACAAAACATTTTTTGTTTGGTTTCTTTTCGAATCAAAGGGCAAAGAAGACTACATGCAAGCAACCGAACGACAAATAGGTAAAAAGTATACCTTTTCTCTTTATTTAGCTTCGAAAAATTACAAGGCTTGATTTTCGATTTTGCTCTTAATATTTGTGTATTTTCCCGTGATAATCTCTAGGTAATATTCTGTGAAATCGTGTCCCCCCCCCGCTACTGTGTTTAAAATTGTTTATTTATAATACAAAAATGCTCTATTTTTTAGCCTAGTTTGAGTCCTAATCAAACTCTAACTCTTGCTTGTTGATTTTATGGGTTGTTGTCGAGGAAACCGACCGGTTACGTGGAGCGAACCATGCGGCGCAAGACTCGGCGTGGAGGAGTCTTTGGGGCTTACTGAGGCGCTGGTGGAAACCATGTGATGAGAAACTAGGGTTTTCAACCCTAGTTCACTGGTTCGGGGTAGCAGATGGGTTCGTGTTTTGGTTCCAAATGGGCTGCTGAGTTTTGCTGGGCCACGTGTTCAGGCCTGAAAGAAAGCAAACAATTATGTAAATATGTGCAACATATGTAATAAAATATGTTATATAATATAACTTATTATATAATATTAACGGACAAAATTTGGTATCTTCAGCTGCCCTTCTTTGCTTATTATCGTGTAACGAAAATGGACCAAAGACTTAAAGATACAAATTTTGTCCATATCAAATGTCTTCTGTTGTAGAGTTGAAATTCGATATTAATACTGGTTTGTCAATTTAAATCATGAAATGACTCCCTCATAGTGAGGATGAGTCGAAACTGGAAAATTCTGAGCACGAAATCCTTCGTAGTAAAGGTGAAACCGTGGATTCCTTGCTGAAATCTTCTACTTCAACATGGAATTATGTAATGAGACACCTGCTAACTTTGGAACTCCTGTCAAATATTCAACATCTGGATGAAAATGAATAAGAAATCTGTTTTAAGAAAAGCTCTCTCGAGTGAGATAAAATTTCTTGTTTCAAGGGAAAATTGTCTCAAGCGAGATGAAATTTGTTTCAAGGGAATCAATATCAAATGTTGGTGTTTCAAGAGAAACTGTCTCAAAGGTTGTTTCAAGGGGAACTGATTCAAATATTTTGTGCTTCAAGGGAAACGTTTTCAAAGTTTATATTCCAAGAGAAATTGTCTCAAAGGAGACAAAATTTTGTTTCAAGGGAAACTATCTAAAGAGAGACAAAATTCATTTCAAGGGAGATGTTTTCAAAGTTTATGTTTCAAGAGAAACTCTCTCAAGAGAGACAAAATTTTGTTTAAAAGGAAACTATCTCAAGAGAGCAAAATTCATTTCAAGGGAAATGTTTTCAATGTCTATGTTTCAAGAGAAACTGTCTCAAGGGAGACAAAATTTTGTTTCAAGGGAAACTATCCCAAGAGAGACAAAATTCATTTCAAGGGAAATGTTTTCAATGTTAATGTTTCAAGAGAAACTGTCTCAAGGGAGACAAAATTTTGTTTCAAAGGAAACTATCTCAAGCGAGATAAAATTTTCTTTAAAAACAGTCTTGAGTGAAATAAAATGCCTTCTTTCGAGTGAAAACGGTCTCAAGCGAGACAAATCTTGTTTTAAGAAAACAATCTTGAGTTAAATAAATCTTTAAAGTAAAGCAGTCTCGGGTGAGACAAAGTCTGTTTTAAGAAAAACAAACTCAAGTGAGATAAATCATCTGCAGTAAATGAGACTGTCTCAAGCGAGACAAAAATTATATTGGGAGTGTTGAATCTAAAGATGATTGTTCCCGCTTGCTGTGGACGTCCTGTTGTCTTTTAATCTCATCTTCTCCTGAAAGATCTGTAAAATGTATCTGGATGTAACTATCCTGTTGATGGATGTTTGATGTATGCCAAGATGAAATTTATTTGTTCCTTTATCAAATTTGTCCTCAATAGAGGAAAAATCAAGGTCTTTATTGCACATGATGATGAATGCAAAGATGCAAATTTCATGCGTAATGTATGCATGTGTTGATGTATATGCGAAATATGTTAGGGTTTAAAGAGATATCTCAATCTCTGGTTGTCAGTCTTGATGACTCTTGACTTTGGAATCTTGAACTTCTTATTCTTGATCTTGGATTCTTCAACATGCTTAAATCTGATGTTCAGAATGTTGATCTGTGAAAGGAATAATTGCGTGAGCAGTCTTCATTCTCTCAGTTTGTCTTCATTTCCACCGGGTGTACTCTTGTAAACCTCAACCTAAGATAATTTGTTTTCCTTCCCTTATCTAATTTTGCCCCAAAAATGGCTTCCTTTGTCCCAGCTTCAATCTTGAGCTTCAGAGGGATATCTGTTGAATTCCAAGACATACTTCCAGATAACTTATCTTGTTTGAAAATGCTTTTCTTCCTTTGACTTTTCAAAATTTTGAAAAATATGAAAAGGAGTTTTGAAAAATATTGCCTCCTTCTAGGTTTCACAATTGAAGCAAATCATAAAACAAGAATTCATTGGATATCAAAAGAATCAAATGCTCTTTTAATATTTGATAGCTGCAAACCTTTGACAATTATCAAGATCGAAAAGTTGGTTTAGAGGTGGATTATTAAGGTTTGTTTCATCGATTCGGTCATCGTGAAGATCATGACATACCCTTCTTTCTTGATTTGGCATTTTGATCGGAGACGAACAAAATGACACAACTAGCATAATCAATGGCTAGGCATTTCAGAACACTTCTGTTTCAGTTCTTTGAAATCTTCCATTTGTTCAAGTTTTGTAAGCTGCTCTAACAAAGGTAGTGCAGAAATATTGGTCTAAAAATGAAATTCTTGAGTGCTCGTGTGAATTTGACTATAACAGGTGTTTCTTAACTCCCTTAGTCCATTTTTACCGAAACTCCTTATTTAAATAAATTTAATTCACCATTGTCTGGCTAGCTGAATCCATAAAGCCGGGGCGTTTAACCAATTACTCTAGAGGGACATCTCAATATGTAAATACCTTTATCAGGGTAGTTGAATCTTATCCATAAAGCCGGGGAGTTTAACAAATTGCCTTAGAGGGACATCTTAAGCTTTATTATATAGTATAATCATCTTTATCAGGCTAGTTGAATATTATCCATAAAGCAAGGGCGTTTAACCAATTGCTCTAGAGGGATAACTCAAGCTTTATTGTATATATATAATATTATAATCTGGGTATACGGATCCAATTTCTTAAGTTTGTTAAGAAGAACCTGTTATAGTCTAGGTGTTTTTGAAAATCATAAAATCTCATTGTTAGAGTTCAATTCCCAAGCAACTGACCTAAACTAGATTCACCTACTTGATCATTCCATCTAAGAAGACCATGATCATCATTGAACGTCATTAACAAAAATAGAAACCAATTAGCTTTGTAATTTCAGGTACTAGATGCCCCATTTTATCCGCTCCTTGATGGACTCTTCATGAGAAGAGAAAACTTAGCTCGGTCCTCGTAAGAGAAGGACATGTAGTATGATGTATCTTTTAAATTAGGACCAAGGGGTCTTTGTTTTGCAGGGTTCAATATTGTCATTTGTCAAAGATTTACAACCTCAATTATTAAAAATCTTTTAATTCAGGTGATATTCAAGGAATTTCAAGTTGTAAATTTGGTTCAACATTCAATATAAATTCATTTAAATATCCAAAAAGAGTTCAAAAATAAGTTCCAAATACGAGAAAATTCAAAAAACAATTTCAAACAAGATGCCACGAAATGGAATAAAGCCTCATTTGGGTGGCCCACTAGTTGGATTAAGGCTTTCATCTGCTCTGGCTCCCCACTCCTCACTGGCCAGGGCTCTTTTTGATGTACCCCCAGACACATCAATTTATGCCTCCTCCAGGTCATTTTCCAGGGAAAATCCCACTTCTTCGTGATTTATCAGTATTTCCTTTCGTGGTTGCTGGAAATTGAGCCCAAATTTATATCTAAAACGATTTTCCTCGGTGGTGATAGTTTTGGTTAGACCCCGAACACATATTACAGCTGTGATTGGCGTAATATTCATCAAGCCTCCTGAGCTACCTAGAATCCCTCTTTCTCTCAAGAAATCTGATATAGGTGTTGAAGCTACGTCTGTTCCATTGATTCTTAAACCCACGGGCCAATCTCGGACCATATTTATGGAAGCTCCTTTACTTGGATTTCTTTTCTAATCCTCCTGCGCCTTAGGTTTTTCGTAGGAATCCTATGTTGAAGCAGTTTGAGGTGTCTTCTTGGCTACAACTGCCCCATCCATTCTCAAACCCACAGGCCAGTCCCAGATTACATTCACGGAAGCCCTCATGTTTGAATGTTCTTCGCAAGCGTTCTTCGTTAAATTGACAACTTCCGAGTTTTGGAACTTTATCTCTACCTTGCACTTCTGGATTGTTTGTTCTAAAGGATCCTCAAGGTTTCTAGGAACCTTAGCTGAACAAGTTGAGGTTCTATCCTGGTTCACCCAAAAAATATCCTTGTAGGTCTATTTCTCATTCGGGGGCCACTGTGGCTGGATATATCCCGGTGTAATCAATCCGGCTGTGAGCATTTCTGAATGTAATTTTTCAAGTGAAAAATGGAAGGGAGGGAACTGAAAGCCCTGCACTTTGTTTTTCTTCTCATTTAGTCCCCATGACGAGAGACTATTGGGTGATAACTTTATAGATAGAATTTGAGTGTCATGTCTTGATGATTGAAAAGGGGTAGAACCTCTAATTATGGGATGTTGATCCTTTTTGGTTTTCTTGGTCAACATTCGGTCATATTCTGTGACCCTCTTCTTTAAGTGAAACTTATCTCTCACAAGGGAAAGCTTCTTTTCCATGGTTGGCCTAGTGGAACCTTTTATAACCACATTTGGTTTTTGGGGTGGACCTGAAATATCTGGCTCTTAACAGGCCCTCTGGTCATTATCATTTCAGCTTCATCATCGACATTCATAGAATCCACTAGTGGATTCTCTCCATGGATCACAACATTTATCATATCCATTAACTTGGTCATTTGTTCTCTGGATTCATCATGAAATCTTCTTGCTTGATCAATCATCTCTCGTTGGGTTTTCATGAGTTGCTCTTGAATTTTCTCGATCTTACTAACACGCGCTAGTATCTCATTCATCGTTGTGGATCTTCAGACACGCTTCAGGTAACCTTCAAAGCTTGTTTGTTCCCTTTTTTATGAGACATCTCTTGTTAGTTAATGAAAAAACGGGAAAGAAAATAAAAATAATGCATAATATGCAAGAATGCATGATGCATGAAATGTTCGAGACATTGATCCAAAAAATGTGACTGTTATTATAAATAATCCTTATTGGGGACAAAAATGTTTTATCTTTTAAGAGACAAAAATATCCTGACAGCTTTTGACATGTTGACTAGTCTTCTGTCTTCGTCTGTCACCGGTTGAATAACCTTTCGAACCGCTCTGGCTTCTCTGGATGAACCGTGCAAATGTTGAGTTGTTTTTTGTATTGGCCTAAGAAGTCTCGAATGACTGCATCTCTGGCATTTATGTTTGTTGAACCTGTTCCCAACGAATATGTCATTGGAGCCCTCAATTGATAGGAACTAAGTGAAGTTCTTTTGTTTGTTTCTTGAATTCGTCAGTAATGGTCTCCAATTTCAGTTATCATTTTGCCATTATTGACTTTGAAGGGACTCTAAAGAGCAGTAACCTTCATCTTGCCCCTACAACCTATACAGTCAGTCTTCAAAGATAGACTTTCATTGTGCTTGATGTAGACCCGGTTCATTCTGAGTCATTTATAATGCAACAGAGTGATATACTCTTCAATTGTGGGCACCATGTCTTCTGGATTGAATGTGACACATAGTCACCTTGTAGACTGTCATCTACATTTTCATTTTATGTATTACAACCCCTTTGTCCATTAATGAGAATTATTTACGTTTAACGAACACGTTTTTGGTGGATCAACACCTCTTTCGAATGATGCAAATGATGAAAATAAACACGAAAGTAAAAAGTTAGTAAAATAAGAAAAATAATAATGAAAGAAAAAGGTAAAAAGAAAAAAGGCAAACAACATGGTTAGGGTAAAAATATCCTAGGTTTTGGAATGTGGTTTCGGGTATGCTCTAATTCTCTATGGTCTCTCGGTTTAGGTTCTAAAAACGGTACCCGAGTTCTCCTTGCCGGTTCCCACTTGGGCTTGCCAGACCCTTAGTCCTAAACTGTAACATCCTAAACTATGGGTTAGTGACTAAATTGTAAAATTTTGAAATTTGGTAATTAAAGTAGGATAGTTGAATAGTTCAATGATTTATTTAAGAATATTTCTGGAAAGTTTTTAGTAATTATTCATGGAATTAAAGGGCAAAATGGTCAATTGACATTAAAGATATTTTTTTATCCCTTTAATAGGAGATAAAAACGTGGAAGATGAAAACATTTTATTATCTTCTTCTTTCATCTTTTTCCTCCCGTATCTCCCAAGCTCAAAGGTAAGTTTCTGATTTCTTGGTTATTTGTTGTTTTAAAAGTTGGCTTATGATCATTAGATGATAATTAAGCTTAAGGAAAGCTTAATTTGTTCTAAACAACAAGATGAAAGGTATAGGAGAGATTAAAGATTTTGAGTTTTTGAATGAAATCTTCAAAATATAGTTGATAAGTTGAATTTGACTTGTCATCTATGAGAATAAGAAGATAGAAGTGTTGGAATTAAGTTTGGATAACATGGAAAATATGGTATGATTATTTATTTCTATATGGAGAATAGAATTTTGAGGTTTAAGATGAAATAAATGGATATAAATTAGTTTAAGTGTATATATTTGAGTTAAGAATATAAAAGGGAATGAAATATGAAGAATTGAAGTGAAAATATAGAATTTTCGTACAATGAACAGTGAATTCTGGGCTTGAGGAAAATTTCCAGAACGTGCAAGGGGAACAGATTCCCCCCTGGGGGGTATCGATTCCCCCTAAATGAAAAAATGGAATTTGATTCATTAAACCGGTTTAAGTTATTAACATCAAGTTTAAAGTTTAGGCTTCTGATAGTTGTTTTAAAATGATATATTTATGTAGATATTGATCCTAAACAAGTTCCGGAATAATCAAAGTATTAGGATCGAATCAAAGCAAGGCTAAGGTGAGTGCAATTTAATTTGTACTTATATTATCGAACAAACATTGGCTTGCGATGAGCCAGTAATGGAGTTACTATGGTAAGAAGTGACTCCTAAAATATTATTTGATTAGTGATCGATGTGATTATTATGTATGTATGAGTACATGAAAATGAGTATATGTCATTATATGTGTTATGATCTATGTGAATATGCAATATGTGATACATGTTATATGATATGAAATAGATGTTTACACATACATGTGGTTTGTGACAGAAGAAAAGAAATATGTGATCATAAGAGCAATATTAATAAGTTATGAGATTACATGTTTATATGTTACAAGTGAGTTGAACTGCTATAAATGATAATGCCCATTTATGTGATATGAGAGCTAGTGGTATAGTTGGCATGCCAAGAGTCGAGGGTTACATATGTCCTACGAGACATATGATAGGTACACAGATTACATCCTTCGGGATGATAGGTCCTTCGGGACACAGATAACATCCTTTGGGATGATAGGTCCTTCGGGACATAGTTTATACGAGCTGTGGTGGCAACATATGTGTGCACAACCTCATAGTACTCACATACCTTGAGTTCTCAGTAATGTTCATGGGCCTACAAAAGATATCAAAAGTATATATGGGCTAATACATGAGTTAATAAAATAAATAGTATAAATACACTGTATGTAATGTATATGATTTGCTATATGAAATGTTTTATGGTTTATATTATATTCTTTATATGCCTCACTAAGTCAAAGACTTAGCGTGTGATTGTTTCACACGTAGGATCAAAGAAGTCGGAAGAGCAAGGATAGACATCTGAGACAACATAGCTTTATCTAAGATCAGATTAGAAGATATTTTATAGTAGGTTCTCTTTCTTATAATAAATAGTGTTGGCATGTAACTAAAGTTTTAAATCTTTTATGCGCTAATAAGTTTTATAAACTGTTTGAGATAATTTATGTAAATTATTCAGTTATATGTAGAAAAAGTTTAAAATTATTCATTATTTTGTACAAGTAAATGTTTTGAAACGTCAATGTGACACCTCGAACTCGTATCCGGGTCGGGTACGGGTTGGGGTGTTACATAAACCCATCACAGGCTTGTGTGGACTAAGTTAAACTCGAGAGGACACATTCCCTTATGCCCATACGGAGAATAAATTCACACAAAGGCATAAGATATATGAATCCCGAAGGTTACTTGCTAGGCCCATACGGTGAATAAATTCACACGAATGCGTCGCTTTCACCCCACTTAAAAACAAGTTCTAAGCTCAAGTTTAGAGCCTTAAGTGAAAAATGAGTTTGGAATACTGAAATCATTAGAAAACGGTTAGTACAACTATTTACTCGAAAATATAATCAAAAGTAAGTAATAAGGATCGAAATGTTACCTTAAAATTTAAACTTACCATTTCGTTAAAAAGACAACTGGAAATTACCTTAGTCTGACTCACTTACCTGTTTTCCCAGCAGAGTCGCCAAGCTGTCGGAACCGTCTTTCGGTTAGACCCGGAATTGGGCTCCGACTTGGAAAAAATGATTTAAGAGTCGCCATCGATCATTTATTTTAAAACCAAATAGGTAGATCGAATACCTTATTTCTTACCTGACATGCGTCTTACCAGTGATGTGTCGGATTCGGGAGTCGGTTATAGTCAAGGAAGGGTTAGCACCCTTGAACTGCCCTTTTGGTACTGTGTAATTTCCAGTTGTCTTTACTTAAGAAAGTTAAAAGTTTAATTTAAAAGGTAAAATAACGATCCAAAACTTACCCTTGATTGATTAAAAATGCCCCCTTAAAAACTCAAGAAACGAGTTAGATAAAAAAGTAATAAAATAAATTGAAGAAAATAAAATAATAAATAAAAGGATATAAAAAATGAAGTGAAGATAATAAATAAATAAAACACAGAAGCGAGCGATAAAGAAAGTAAAAGGAATAAAAAAAAATAAAAATACAAAATTAAATAAACAACATAAAGAAAAATAGCAATGTACATTAAAAAAGGGATAAAATAAGAATAAATAAAGTAATAAAATAACTGTTAAAGGAAAAAAGGATAAAAATAAAGAAAATAAAAAGAAAAACAATAAAAAAAATAAAAGTAAAATATAAAAAAATAGTAAAATATATAAGGAAAAAAGTAAAAGATATAAATAATACAAATAACGTTAAAAATAGAAATAGAAATAGAAATACTAATAATGAAAATAATATATACAAATATATAAAATAAATAAATAGATAATATATATAATAATAACAAAGGTACTAAATTGAAAGAAAAGTCAAATTCCAGGGTCAATTTAAGGAAAAATTCGGTCTTAGGATTGAATTCAGGGTCCAAATAAGCTTTATCAAAAGATCGAGGTCCAAAAGCGCAGTTCACCCTATTTATTTTGGAAACACATGGGTCATATAGTATTGGGTCGGGTCGAGGGCCGGTTGGATGGGTACTATAAATACCAATAACCATAAACATAATTCATTTTCATCTCCCCAAACCAGATCAAACATAAAAAACCAAATCCTCTGCCCATGTTCATCGTGTTCTTCATGCACGATGAACAACCGCAGTTCATCGGCGGCAAAACTCGAAAAAAGTTTGATTTTTTAAAAGCTCTTCGTTCCCTCGGTTTAAATATGTGTTTTGTTTTTTGCAAAAAAACCTCTAGGGAGCGTAGATCTGAAATTAAAATTTCAAAAACTCCCTTTTGATCATTGGCTCAAAACATTTTTTGTTTGGTTTCTTTTCGAATCAAAGGGCAAATAAGACTACATGCAAGCAACCAAACGACAAATAGGTAAAATGTATACCTTTTCTCTTTATTTAGCTTCGAAAAATTACAAGGCTTGCTTTTCAATTTTGCTCGTAATATTTGTGTATTTTTCCCGTGATAATCTCTAGGTAATATTCTGTGAAACCGTGTCCCCCCGCTACTGTGTTTAAAATCGTTTATTTATAATACAAAAATGCTCTATTTTTAGCCTAGTTTGAGTCCTAATCAAACTCTAACTCTTGCTTGTTGATTTTGTGGGTTGTTGTCGAGGAAACCGGTCGGTTACGTGGAGCGAAACATGCGGCGTGAGACTCGGCGTGGAGGAGTCTTTGGGGCTTGCTGCGGTGCTGGTGGAAACCATGTGGTGAGAAACTAGGGTTTCCAACCCTAGTTCACTGGTTCGGGGTAGCAGATGGGTTCGTGTTTTGGTTCCAACTGGGCTGCTGAGTTTTGCTGGGCCACGTGTTCAGGCCTGAAAGAAAGCAAACAACTATGTAAATATGTGCAACAAATGTAATAAAATATGTTATATAATATAACCTATTATATAATATTAACAGACAAAATTTGGTATCTTCAATAATCATATATAATACATGTGTATTTCTTCATATTTTTTTCATTTGTGACATACATTTATGATACAAAGTCGAGAGACTCAACTCAAATTTGAACATCAATCCACTAATTACTAAAATTTTTGATTTATTCGAGTTGTATTTACAACTCGGTTTTAACTTGAATTTTTTTTAGTCGAGTCGGATTTATGAAAGTTAATCCTCCATTCGAACGACGACACGTGGCACTAGGGATAAGAAAATTTTGACTCTACTCAAAGAACCGATTTTTTCGACTCAACTCTTGAAAATTAGACTCAAATTAACTTTGAGTTGTAATTTCATAAACCCGACTCGACTCGAAAAAATTTCAAGTTCAAACCAAGTTGTAAAATACAACTCGAATAACTTGAATAAATCGAAAATTTTAGTAATTAGTGTATTGATTTTCAAGTTTGAGTTGAGTCTCTCGACTTTGTATCATAAATGTATATCACATGTGAAAAAAAATATGAAGAAATACACATGTATTGTATATGGTTATAAAAGATCATTTAAATTGGAATCAAATAATATCATAATATTATAAATATTTATAATTAAATTTAAACAGAAACTCAAAAATTTGACTCGAAAATATTCTAAGTCAACTTCGAGTTGTAAAATATGATTAAATTTATTTTAATTTATTAAAAGTATGACTAAATTAAAAGAATATGTAAATAACAAGGACCAAGTGTGTGATTATATCAGAATATTAATTGCTGTTAACGACAGTTAACTCTGAGTGACCACATCTTACTAAAATAAAAACAAAAGTGACAATATTTTATGTTCTTTAAAATCAGTAATTAAAAGTAGACAAAACATAAACGTAAATGATTTCAATATAGTTAACCCTTAAAATTATATAAAAATAACAAAACAAATAAAAAATTGACATAAATTATACTTTATAAATATTAAAATTAAGTTTATTATTATATCAATTAAAATTATATAAAATTAACAAAACAAATAAAAAATCGACAGAAATTAAATTATTTTTAGTAGAGATCAATTTATCCAATATCAGGATAGAAAAGGACCTAATAGGTATTTTTACCCAAAAAAACGATTTCAACCATTTGAACCTCACACGCGTATACAGATGTAAGAGTTGAATGCACTGAATCCTCAATTTGGTGAAACTTGTAATTAGACCCCAAGAAGGGAATTATAAATATTAAAATTTGTTAGTAAGACATCCCACAGATAGTTAAAATGATGTCTTCAACCAAATATATATATATATATATATATACATAATGAAAAACCAGGTTCATCAGCAATCACAGCCTTGGTTCTCCTCACTTTTTGGATTTCTTAACAGAGACGATACGGGTATGGGGCATTTTTTTTTTTTACTTTATACATACGATGATACAAAATAAAACGACATGACGTGGTGTGGCGCGTGGTACGTCTTTTCGCTAGTAGAAGCGCAAGGTACTCGGAAAGGTTACTAAGTATGCAGCGCCATGAATAAGTTCTGCTTACGAGCATGATCCGGTATAAGTTTCTTCACAACATCAGGGGGGACGCCCGAGAGCTCTGCCAATGCAAGGGGAACAAAGAGTAGAGCAAGAGTTCAACCAACATATCTTGATGGCATAACATGCTTCTAATTGCCGAGTGGAACTCACCTTGTGGCTTAAAATTGAAGAGTGTTGGGAGCGGACGGTTGTTGGGTAGTCGAGTGTTCGGATCCCTCAGTTCATCAAAGAACGGGTGAATGCAAGCCTCCAGCTGCAGTAAGATTGCCATTGGAAGATAAATAAAGAGGCCGATTACTGAAAGATATTTTTACCATTACTGCTCGGTACGGCATAAGCAAGAGTATCATAACTTACAGCAGTGCAGCGCAAATTGGGAGAGTACTGAAAAAACCTACAGACGAGATCCACTGCTTCCGGAGGCAATCTCTTTTGGAAGACCTGTCGCAAGAAAATTCATTATGGACTTCGATAGGAAACCTAATGATACAAAGAGCATAAAGAATGGAAAAAGAGAAAAGAGCACACATACCTTGTGCCATGGATGAGGCTTTATCTGGGGAAACTTGAATTCAGTGTAGTTCGGATTCATGCACTTGATCTCCTCCCTGGTTGGAGTCCCCAAAACCTAAACAAACATTCAAACTCAGACTTTATCAAACACATCCTAGGGTAAACTTTGATGTACATGTTTCCAAACATTGTATCAAAAACAATGGAGAAAGGAGCAGTATAGGGTAACGAAGAAATTGTTCCGACAGAGACTGCATTCACTGGCAATGGACATATTCAAATCCTAAATTTTGGCTTGAATTTTCTTCTATTCATGAAAAGGAATAATTGAAAAGAAAATATATTATAAATTAATGGGCTTATATATAATGTTTGTCGAAGCACCCCCAGGGTACCTAAAATATCATTAACATAACCAAGATTAAGCAAAAGTCTAATAATTATCAAAACCTAGTATTGTTGAGATGTAATAAACTTCAATAGATTTTTCAAGTCCAGAAGGACTCCAAGAAAAGTAAAGGAATAATAAGATGTAATCACCTTAATGATTTCAACAAGTTGGTCGACCCCACTTTCACCAGGAAACAGTGGCTGCATTGTATGGTAGTAATCAAAAACATAATTAATGAAGAGAACACTAACTTATAACAGTACCCTTATTAAACAAATTAGCCTGGATTTACCTGTCCAAGAAGCAATTCAGCCATCACACAACCAGTAGACCATATATCTATAGCAGTTGTGTATTCAGTGGCACCAAATATGAGTTCTGGAGCACGATAGTATCTTGAGCAGATGTAAGAAACATTGGGTTCTCCCTTCACCTGAAACAAGGAACGGATGCCAACTCAGGTGATGAAACAAGATTCAGCACCAACAATTATTATTACATGAAAACTTACAAGCACTTTTGCACTCCCAAAATCACAAAGTTTCAACTGATGCGTATGTGGATTCACCTGGAAGAAAAAAACCATAGAAGTTGAATCTCACTAAACCAAGGATAATGTGGCTCCAAATATATAACCTTTGACCAGATAACATTTTTCTCATATAAAGAAACCAAAAAAATAATAAACATATAAAATCCTCATAAACATTACTGTACATCTTAGCAATGATAAATAAAAGTAGCCAGTAAATAACAGGTTTTTATAAATTCAGTCAAGAGACTTGATCAATTAGATTAGCAGAACAATACAATTACTCAGAGTGCACACTGTTACATGAGAAACATGTACACTGTAACAAAACACTGACTCCATAGAAGAAGAGTCTTACAAGTAAATTCTGAGGTTTGATGTCACGGTGACATATACCGATGCAATTGTGTATATAGGCAAGTGCTCTGCATATCTTCAATCCAAAAGAAGACAATTAGCTACAACTCTATCCAATAAAGTAATTTTTTTAAGTTAAAACAGAAGAAAGGGAAAAGAAAAGCAAGTTTAACTATAGAGGATCAGGAATATTGGACCTATTTAATGTGAAGACTATAGTTTAAACCAAAAATTGAAAAATGACTTCTCATTTCATTACCATATGATTTAGCAGTAACACCAAATAAATCACGACAATATATCATTTCTGAAACAACTCTGAACCATGCAATTACCCCATAAAAGAATATGCTTTAAAGGCATATAAGAACATGCTTTAATAGGACGGAGAAGCACCTGGTAGGTATAGAGTTTAACATATATTAAAGGCATTCGTGTGTTCATCCTGCTGTAGCTTCTGGCTGTACGATGAACAGTTTCAGGTACATACTCAAGAACAAGATTGAGGTAGAGTTCTTCCTTGTCTGTTTTCGAGAAAAAATAATGCTCAAGAGCAACAATATTTGGATGATCCAGCATTTGCATAATCTGCAATTCCCTATTTTTGTAGCGCTTATCTTGAAGAACCTTCTTGATGGCAACAATTTCTCCAGTTTCACGACACTTTGCCTGCAGGAAACAGCCAACTCATTCAAGGTTATGATCTACTTAACAGAGTCAAGAAATGTTTTTGATCAAGAATATTGTAGAATTACTTACTTGGAAAACAACACCGAAAGAACCAGTTCCAACTGCATGTTCAGCAATATAACTAACATTCTGTCAATCCATCCAAAAATAGATATAGATTGAGAATAATGAAGGTTGATAAAACATCAATTATAGAATCATACAAGGAAAAATTTGCACTTCTATTTATTTTCTTTCAACCTTTTTTGATTGACCATTTCGACCACCAATGGTTGTTCTTATCACATGTCCTGTTTCAGCACCCACTCCATCAACTATATCTGGTTCACTATCCTGCATGGATAAAACATAAAGGATCATCTACAAATAGAGAAGCCTCTTGCAGAGATTGTAAAATTATGTTCTAGGTTTCAGTATCAGACTACTATATTCTCAATAAGCATGGACATTGTAAAGCTGCTTGAGAAGTTCTGAAATAAAATTCAAATGAACGATAGATTGCTCTTCTTACTTTGTCTTCATCGTTGTCCACCTTGTCTCTGAGCCTCATTTCAAGCATTTCTCTCCCCAACCAATCAACAGAACTAGATGAGCTTTTGAAACCATTAACAGACCTGGAACTACCCACTCCTCCATTTCCTAGGCTTGCAGATGCCATAATTCAGCCAGGGAAACTTTATAGAAACTAGTATTGGTTATCCGCTAAATACTCCGAAGTGCAGCGGCCCATCCCATCCAAGCACCTATCTTCCTAATAGATTCCCAAAGTTGAGAAGGAAGAAACCATTAGAGAGGAGAATTTAGAATAATTATTATCATAGGTTACGTGCAAAAAAAAACATATACGCCTGACTGCCAAGGTGAAAGATCAGAACATAAGGGAATCAAATGTTAGCACTTGCTTCTTCATATAGCATAACACTGTAAAAGAATAAATTCCTCAAATAAAAATGACTACAAACTTCTAGGAGACATAAATTTAAGCTTTTAAGCATTCAAGTAAACTAGGATACCCAAAACATATGGGAATCAAATGTTAACACTTGCTTCTCATACAGCATACAGAATATATACTTTTGCAGAATATGAGCGTCAGACAAGAAAAAAAGCAATGTAACAAGGAAACAATAAAGAGATTTTCAGTTAAGAAACCACCTGTTGAATCAAAAAGTCCACGGCTTAACTTCAAGTTCAAACCAGTGAGATCAGCTACATAAAATTTGCTCCCTTCGAACAGTTAAAATCCAATGTCAGATTCTCCAAAAACATACCCAAAATTCATTGTTTGTTTAAATCATATGCAAATTACCATACCTTTATAAATGAGCTTTATTTCTATTAAATTAAAGTTATCAGCGTGATTTATTAATAAATGAAATAAAGAGGAACCAATAGTATCAAAATTAATTACGGCGTGCAATTATCTGTTACTCTCACACGGAGCACCGATCAGATCTAACCCTAATCTAGCCAACCAAAACACCAGAAACCATATAATCTTCCACTAAATATTTGAATTAATGAAAATAACCCTAAAACTAAACCTTTTCCATACCATCCAAAAGAGAGAGAAAAACAGCAATTTTTATTGTTAATGAAACTCCAACTGTTTCACTTCAAAAAGAACAAAAATAAAAGGATTCTCGTTTTTATACTTACTCGGAAGTGTTCGGAACGAAACCGAAAACAGATCAAGCGCATTTCTTTATCCTCAGAGTTCGATTACGAAACTCAAATCAGATTTTTTTCTTCCTAAAAAAACTGAAGGCAGACAGCCATGGACTGTTTCTGATCCGATCAAATCTGTTATTTTCAAGATTTTTCCGATATTTCTTGTAATTTCCCCCCCAATATTTTGAGTGTAGACTACAGAGAGAGAAAGAGAGGGTGATAGGAAGAGATTTTATGGATTTTTTTGGGGAATATATACGAAATGAAAATTATCCATCTTCACGTCTTGTTATTACATTGCTTTATTTTGGTTTAATTTCTCTTTCAGTCTCTGTATTCTTCGTACGCTTAAAATTTAGTTTCTCATATTTTATTCACGCGAATATTCTCTGTACTCTTTTAGGTAGGTAGCATTCTAAAACAAAAATAGGAATTGTAAACTGGCGGAGTGAGTGCGAATATATATATTTTTTCTTATATCTACTTAATATTTTTATATCTATCACTTATCCATATTTATGATTCGTAAAATTTTTAAATTCACAATCAATCATATGAGTACATTCTCAAATTAACTCTACACCCACTATCCAACTACATACACACCATACACTTTACACCGTTCGTATCGGCCCATATCCCTAAGAGTAGCTTCACAAATTACATAATTTATAAAACATAAAACAAATACATCAATTAAGAATCGTAACAAAATAAACCATGGATTAATTGAGTTTATACTTTAGTATCTGGTTAAAAAATTACCAGAGATGTCCTATAAAATCTTAAGATTTATAAAATATCTTTGAAATTATATATAAATTTGTTGAGATTTGAGACTATATTGATTAACCGAAAAAAGTAACCAAAAGGGGGTGAATTGACTTTTTGAAAAATTGAGAATTAAAGAGAGATGATAAAAAAAGTGTATACAGATATTTATTTGGTCCAACTTCCTTAAGGAAGTTCACATTCACTACCTTAGCTCCTCACTAAGGATTTCTAACAAATTCACTAATTTGTTTTTTCTTTTTCTATGCTCAATAGTATTTTTTTTACAAATTCTCTAGTTTTCAATTGCTAAACTAGAACAAAACCCATTTTTTCTAAAAGATAAAAGATTGTAAACAAGAAACCCTCACAAAGTGGATGTTTACACAATTAAACTCATTAAACACTCTATTTACAAGAGAAACGGAAAAATAAGATTGAAAGAGTTTTTCTCTTGATGTGGATTGCATAGATAGGTATTGTAGCCTACTTCAAGTGTTCTTAACTTATTTTTATATGTTGGAATGTGCTTGTGACCGTTTCTACCCTTTGGGATTTTTGGAGTTGTTAGGGATTTAATTGTTGCAAAATAAAACTGCTCAGACCATAAAGTATCAGTACTCGGGATAGGAGTATTGTCACTTCCCTAATAACTTTTAAATAAAATAGGCGTTTATGATCGTTGGGCTAGGTGAGTATCGATACTAGGGTTATGGTATCAATACTACTATGTAAACTAGCATCGATACTAATTTGAGTATCGATACCAAAATTGCTTATTCGAATTTGAACACCTTTAAAGAAAACATGCAATACGATATTGTTATATGAGTATCGATACTTCTCTTGCCTTTGGTATCAATACTGCAAGAACAATATCAGTGTTGTTCATGTGGTATTGATATTGATTTGCCAAAAAATTGTTATTGTGATTAAATTATAGTTTAATGGACTTTGAATTATTTTTGAAAACTTTGAATAAATTCAATCAAGTCCAAAAACATTTTACCCTTAATTTTTTATATCAAAATATGTTCGATAATCTCCCCTTTTTGATATAACAAAACATTTGAAAAATGACATTTGCAAAACTCCACCTTAATAAAACATTTAATGAAAAAGATAAATATTTTGAAAAAAAAAATCACTCACTTTTTTCATTCTTGAAATTGAATTTTTTAAATCTATACTTCTCCCCATTTTTGTTATATCAAAAAATAATTCGAACTTTTTAAGTTCAAAATAACAATGAAGTGTGAATAGAAATTTTAACATAAAATCTTTTTTTTTTTTTGAAAAAATCACAACTCCCCTTCAACAAAAGCATTACAAAAAATTAACACTTAAGAACTATTGAATTTAAAAAAAACATGTTAGTAACATATGAAATTCCAATATATTATACTTTATGCAAAATTAAAATGAGACATTAAAGTTCATATGCATAAAGCTTTCTAAAAATGTTATGCATTTGAAAATTTTGATATCAATTATTAAAGAGATATCATTTACAATAAAAAACACATGTATAAACATTTAAATTTGAGGTCAAATATAAAAGTGTGTAAAAACAAAAATTGAAAATAAATTTGACAAAAAAATCATTATGATGAACTAAAGAATTTAATAAAAATCATTGAAACTTTAAAACGTTCACCATAACACATTTTAACATACATGAAGAAAAAAAGTAATCATTTATGCTCAGAACTCATGCATGCATAAAATAAAATAGGCAACCATTATATGAAAACAAAAAAAATTAAATTTAGAGGTTACCCATTCCTTTGCTTGTGTGGCTAGAGTATTTGAATTTCTTTACTTTTGTCAACATTGCTCCCACACACCTACAATAGACATTTATTTGGATTTTGGTATCCAAATTGATTTGGATCTTAGGGTATTAGTGCAATGTCTCTAGTTCCTTTAGGATCCTATACTTGTCTAATTTCAAAATGTTTTCTAAGTTTTAAAAGACAAAGTATGTTCCATGTAACCATGAAAATGACAATGTGAGCATTTTGTCATTTTTAAAATAGATGAATTGTTTTAGAATTTTTTTTCTTTTGTTAAACATTCAAGTTTAACTTTCAAATCAATTTTTTTCTTCTAAATCTTCAATTTTGCTTTCAAAATCAAATCATTTTCAATTTTAAATTTATAAATTAATTTCTTGTATTTGGAATTCATGGTCTCAAATTCCAAATATAATTCATCATATGCATCTTTTAGCTCTTTAAATGAATAAGAATTTATATCACTAGAGTTAGAAGTTACCATTGAATCTTATTCGATGGCCATGAGACATAGGTTGGCTACTTCATCTTCATCATTTGAGTTTTCTTCATCACTCCAAGCAGCCACAAATGTATTATTTTGCTTGATCCCTTATTCTTTAGGATGTGACATTCATATTTGACATGTCCCGTTCTTTTGCACTTAAAGCACACCGAGGGACTTTTCTTCTTACTCGATTCATGCTTCTTACCTTATTTCGAAGAAATGAATCGTTTGAATCTTTTGAAGAGCTTGGTAATCTCTTCATTTTCATCCACCTCTTCACTTGAGTCTTGATTACTCTTATTGGTGGATTTAAAGGTGATTCTCGTATCCCTTTTTTCTTTTTCTTTTTTTTCTTCTTCTTTTGGAGTCTCACCTCATGAGTAAGTAATGATTCGATGAGCTCATCGAGGGTGTACAACTCCAAACCTTGGCTTATTCGATGGTGATTTCTTTGTCTTCCCAAGATATAGGCAATGAGGCAAATATCTTTTTCACTACTTTCTTATTAGGATAAAATTTCCCAAAGTTCTTCAACTCATTGATTATTGAAGTGAACCGATCTGACATCATCTTTATGTCTTCATCATGCTTCATCTTGGAGTTATCATAGTTGAGAATGATAATCTTGGACTTTTTGACTTGGCTTGTTCCTTCATGGCTCACCTTCAACTTGTCTCATATCTCCTTAGCATTAGAGCATGAAGATACTCTATTATATTCGTCCGGGCCACGTGCACAAAAAAGAATGTGCATGGATTTAGTGTTGAGTTGGGCATGCTTCTTGTCTTCATTGGTCCACTCTGACAAGTTTATTGGAAAGTTAAGAGAATTGTCGACGATTGCATCTCAAACATCAAGATTGGTGGCTTGAATGAAAAAACTCATCATATTCTTCCAATCGGAGTAGTTGGCACCATTGAAGTAATGAGACCTCATAATGGAGTGAGAGTACTCGAGGTAGAATAAGTCGAAAATCGAAGTCATCTTCTCAGTTGTGTCGGGAATTGATAGAGTTTCTTCAAGGACCATCTCAAGATGTTGTAAGACCTTTAATTGAGTCAAGCTCTGATACTAATTGTTGATATTTAAGGCTCTATGAATTAGCCAAAAAAAGTGGTCAAGATGGGGTGAATTGATTTTTAAAAAAATTGGAAATTAAGGAGAGATGATAAGAAAAATATGCACAAAGATTTATAGTGGTTCAACTTCCTTAATGAAGTTTACATCTACTACCTTATCTCCTCACTAAGGATTTCTAACAAATTCACTAATTTATTCCTTTTTTTTAGGCTTAGGATTAACAAAACCTCTTTTTCTAAAGAATAAAAGATTATGAACAAAAAACCCTCACAAGGTGGGTGTTTACACAATTAAGCTCACTAAAACACTCTATTTACAAAGAAAAATAAGATGGAAAGAGATTTTCTCTTGATGTGAATTGCTTGGATAGGTGTTGTAACCTTCTTCAAGTGTCCTCAACTTGTTTTTATATGTTGCAATGTGTTTGTACTGTTTCTAGCCGTTCAGGATGTTTTGGAGCTATTGGGGACTTAATTGCTACAAAGTAAAACTGTCTAGACCAGGGAGTATCAGTCAAGATAGGAGTATCGGTACTTCTCTAATAACTTTTGAATAAAATAGATGTTTATGATTGTTGGGCTAGGTGAGTATCAATACTAGGGTTATTATATCGATACTACTATGTAAAGTAGTATCGTTACTCCTTTAAGTATCGGTACCAAAATTGCTTATTGGAATCTGAACACCTTTGAAAACAACATGCAATATTGGGATTGCCATATGAGTATCGATACTTCTCTTGCCTTTGGTATCGATATTGTAAGCACAATATCGGTATTGCTTTGCCATAAAATTATTCTTGTGTTCAAATTCTAATTTAATGAACTTTGAATTATTTATGAAAACTTTGAATAAATTCAATCAAATCCAAAAACATTTTGCCCTTAATTTGTTATATTAAAATAGGTTCAATAAAATTCATAATAGTCCAAAGTTTATATGGTGGGTAATTAGTGGACGGACGAATGTGAGGCGGGCAGATACAATGTGGATACGGTCTCAAACCCATCACCTATGCACTGCTCATGGCGGGTATGACTTTTTACATCTACACCCGCCCACTACACACTAAACTTATATCAATCTCCGCTCCAATTAGAACAGGTGCGATGCGAAATCAACAAAATTGTACTCGTTTATCATTTCTAATAAAAAAAATAGGTTACTTGACTAATATTTCTTTATAACTTTTTTAGTTATTGATAAAATACACATACTATGTAAATACAATTGTTCGAATTTAATATTTCTAAAATAAATAATAGTTTTTATTTATGCAGTGGTTTGATTGATTCAACAAATAAAAAGTTATAACAACGGATTTGTTATATTGTTAATTCTTAATCCGAAGTTATAAGATTTTCAACATTGTTGAAGATAAGCATGGTGAAAGTTAATTTTTTTAATCTTTTATATTTGTTTTATTGTTGATATTTAATTATTTTTTAATTAAAAAATTTAAATAATATAGTGGTCAAATAGTAATTTTCCTAAAATTTATAACCAGTTTACAAGAAAACTTATACCAACTTTAAACTTGAATTCATATATAATTAACAATCAGATTATTTTAACAAAAAATACAATAAAATAATTAAAATTGTAATATCTCTAAAGTTAATTACAAATAAAAAAAATTTAAATATGAGATTGCAAGATTTTTTTTATCATGAAAGGGAGATTATAACATTATTTCACATAAGTGTAGTGAAAACTTCTCTATCTATTTCACTGTTTATATTTTTTTGACTAACACTGCTTATATTAAAAATGTATGATTATCCTTTCCAATATATATATATATATATAATGATTGCTGGGAAAGAAAATTGTCAAAGTCTTTTAATTCAATAATTGACTGTCTATCTGCTCTCTCATCAAATTTGTTTTTATTGCAAACCATGGCCAAATCTATAATTGACTATGGTTTTTTTTTATAAGTAGATATATTTTTAAAAGAACACAATTTTTCAAATAGCCCAAAAAACTTTGTAAACCTTCATCTCAATCCCTAAATCCACATTAGCCATCGGGCTTTCTCATCGACGAAGCTCCATTCGACCTCACCTCTCCGGTGATCAATACCCCTATGAAATCGCGACCGATCGACATTTTGTATCCCACAAACCATATGGTGAAAACCATGATCTCACGCGATTCCGATGACAGCGACTACGATGTTGTATGACTAGGAAGATGCTAGAAAGTATGTCGATAGCGGTGGTCGTGTTCAGAAAGGATGGCGATGATATGTTAGGGTTAGGTATATAGGATTTTTAGGATTTTATTTTTTTAATTTAAGAGAAATGTTGTTTTTAATAAATATAATAATATTTTAAATTTTTAAAAATTAAATAAATTTCAAAATTATAAGAATATGACACATGTAACTTAACAGATAAAATTAACGTCAATTACGACTTGGACACCTAAAGTGGTAACGTTTGTAACGTTAGACACCTAGATCATTAAAAAAATAGTTAAAGTAAATATTCGTGAAAAGCAGTATAATTTAGGCAAGTATTTTATAATTAAGCCAATTATTGTTTGTAAGTTTTATATAATTTTAAAATTGAAAAAATAGATTTATTTAAAAAAGGAGATTAACTTAGAATTAGATTTTGTGTATTTTGAAAATAAATACATCAAAATATTTATGATAGTATTGTCCTTCTCTATTAGTACAAGTTACAAGTTCAACTCTGATTGAATAATTTTTAAAAAATAAAATGAAACTATAAATTTATATAATTTATAATATCTTTAAAAAATTAAATATTATTTATGGTTTTTATATAATTTTTAATTAAATTTTTACTATCGTTCTAATAATTGAATTCTCATCTATACTTTTATTAGTGCTTATTAAAAATATTGTATGTGGATGATTTTCATAAAAAAACTAAAAAAATGTTTAAATCATCTCATAATAATAATTTTGATATTTTAATTTAAAATGTTAAATTTTCAGATACACATAATTAAAATATTTTTATAATAAAATAATAAGCTAGACATTTTAAATATAATAATAAAAGAATTATAATATTTTTATAATAAAAAGACTAAAATATTTCACTTGGAGAGAAGATGTCAAGGGTCCCTTATAACACAACAAATGAGAATAATTGGACTTTACGTAAAAGTCCTTGGAAGATAATTTAACAATTAATTAAGTCCTTATCGTTATATTGTATTAAATTACAGGTAAACTATGTATGTAGTCACCCAACTATCACTTTAGTTATGTTTTGAATTAATTATTAATAATCATCATTAACATTACGTTTTGGTTTTATTTTGATCACCCGTCGTTATAAACTTAACAAAATTGTTGAGATGATATTTTTAAAATTATTTCAATGATGATATGACATTATCTTACAATGACATATCAGCATCACCATTAATTTTTTAACAGTGAGTGACCAAAATAAAACTAAAACATAACATTAGTGATGATTTTGAAAATATAATTGAGTGACCAAAATAAAATCAAAATAAAAGATGAATGACTAAATACATAGTTTTCCCATAAATTAAATAGTTAACTTTTGGTAATCTAGTTTTAATAGAGTTTGTCAAAGAATTAAGATATTAAATTTTTATATACTAACAGTCTCTAGAATAAAGGTTAACGCTCTCAATTGACACGTCTCCCCTCCTTTAGACGGTAAGTTCAATATATATTAGGAGCAAAAATTCATCTTTCCCTTCCATTATATGGAATTTGTTTAGCAAAAAATCTTTCTATACTAAGTCCAAATCTTATAATATGAATATTTTATTTAAATTTATTATAATGTATAATTGGTAGATTACATGATTGCTCACTTTTGTTTAAGTTTTATATATATTTTTTTCACTGAATTAAAAAAATAATATTTGATCTCTTTTGTTTTTATTTAATTAAGATGTGGTCACAAAGGGTTAATCGTCGTTAGACCTTTGCCGAATTGCTGGTGTACCACAATGAATTTATAAAAATTTAAAAGGGTAAACAACACAAATGATCACAAATATATGACTATGTTTTCGTTTTTCCCATTAAAATTTCAAAAAATAACAAACTATCCACTAAAACATCAAATAGGTCCTTGAAGTGATTTTATATTTAATTTATTCCAAAAGTTTTCTAATTTATTGTTTATCATTTGAAATATTCGATTGCTTTATGTCCAAAGAAGTTAATTTCTAAGTTTTATTTTTAAAGTTTAAAAAGTATATGTATAAAAGTTGGAAAAATCAAAAAGATTTTGAGGTAAAATAGATATACAATAACTGTTCAATGACATATTTGATGTTTTTAGTGACCAAATTGTTAATTTTGAAGCTTTAATGGGGAAAATGAAAATGTACCCAAAGATTAGTGACCATTTATATAGTTTACCCTTGTTAATTTTATAAATTTATTGGGGCACATTAACAATCCGTTAAAGGTATGATGACAATTAACCCTCTTTGATTATATCTTAATTAAATAAAATCAAAAGTGATCAAATATTATGTTTTCTGAAATCAGTGAAGAAAATTATACAAAACTTAAACGAAAGTGATCAATCCTATAGTTTATTCTTTATAATTTATTGAATGGTGTTAATGATAAAAGAGTGTTATTCTTTTTTGATGTCATGGGTTCATGCAATTGTGTCTATAGGGTATATATACATAGTCACTAGTTAAAATTAGGGATGGGCATGGGTGAGTTTTTGGTCCATCCGACCCAACTTCACAAAAACAAGTTTTCACCCGATCCGACCAGAAATAATAAAAAAATTATTTTTATTCAATAAAAACAATTACTTAATTGAAAAAAATATATATAGGGGTATTATTGTAATTATCCTTAAATATATAAGGTAAATTATATTTTTTTCAAGCCGGGTCGGGTATTTTTCACCCTAAACCCGAACCGACCCAACCCGAACATCACATTAAAAAAAACCCTGACCCGATCAGGTTAGAACCCGTCGGGTTCGGATCCCATGCCCATCCCTATTTAAAAGATATTCCAAATGGATACTATTTTATAAGTCACCCTAAACTA